CGAAAGCATCGCATTAAAGGTGGAATGGGCCGACGAAAGCGTCGCACCAGAGGACGCGTACGAATGGAAGGAATGGAAGGAATTGAAGAATGCCAATAAGATCGTTGGTTGGAATGAATACTCCGATCAAGAAATCAAAAAACAGGTACACGAAGAYATGAMATYTTTTTTCAAATGGTATGTTCAGGGAATCTTGGAAACAGGAGAGAAAGAAAAGATGTATTGGAAAAAAGTAGAAGCCCCAGACGAGAACGAAGATGAGTTTGATCGCGAAGTTGCCAACCATTTGTCACGCCTTGCTCAAATGCTGTCCAACCGAACAGACGACCCAAACAGAGGCGTTGGCTGTGTCATCACCATTGACAAAGAGATTGTCGCAACCGGCTGGAATGGCTACCCTTCCAAAGCACTGTACGGTAACCATCCCCGTCTAGGAAAGTCTGTAGACAACACTAGGCCTGACACTAGCCCTAACACTAGGCCTGATAGTAAGTACCCCCACGTAATTCACGCTGAACAGAATGCCTTGATGCGCAGAAATAAAAGAAATCTTGATGGCGCGACTGCATTTGTCAACAAAATACCATGTAACGAATGCTTGCCAATGTTGTGCGATGCTGGAGTAAAAACACTCTATCTTTCGAAAGGTGCTTTCAAGAAAAAGGAAAAGACCGAGGAAAACTTTTATAAACTACTAGAAAAACCGGGAAACCCTTTAATCGTCTACGAACAGTATTGAGAAACTATTCTTTAACGACCAAAGTATGGTATATTATAAACTATTGAGAGACTAAAAACGAAAGGAAACAATCAAGGGACTTTAGGACGTGTCTAAAACTTGAAACTGYATGTAAGACAGACGTCTAACCCTCGTAAATACTATCTTTGTTAGTCAGTGTACAGTAGTAGCCTATCCAGCCGGTTGACGAAAATGTTTTAGTATACTAAGGTGATTTGACTACTTCCCCTGTGAAATACTCTAGTTATTTAGAACCATAATACTTAACTTTGTTAGGACCCGATTAATCGTTCTAATATACATATACAACAATATTCTATTCATTTTAGCCAATATTCTTAATCGAATGCAAGCACTTTCGTTTCACTGATAATAGTAGCACTGAGAAGTTATTAGTAATACGTATATATTGCCAAAATATATTCAAGAATATTGTCTTTCTTCAAAACGTTTTCTTGTAGATAAAGAACGCTAAATATGATTCTCATGAATAACTAATGTAAGATGTCGGAGTACAGTCTGCGTGTGACCGCTTGGAATGTCACAGCAAGAGTTATGCTAGGAGCAACGCTTTGTTATTTTCAATCTCTGCTATCTAGATAATTTATCATATAATAATTTCATCAATAATAATTATCCTTTAATTATTGTGTATACCAATTGTTTGCTAGGAGATGAAACAGTAAAAAGTAACAAAGCAGTATTTGCTAGTGTCTTTTTTGCTTATTGTTCATTTACAAGCTGTATTTGTAGGTCCTCGTGTCCGACTTTTCGACGTTATTGCCGATTCCTATAACCAGCAATCAACAATCCCAAACCTGTTTTATTAGTGCACAGCTGGCCAAATAAAGAGAATAAATAATTCCAACTGAGTGATGCAAAACGAGTAGGGCAGCCTATCCGTGTCTCGAAGAAATGTAAAACTAAAACAACGCTACCGTCAAACAGCGGTCATTTCTAGTTAGCTCATTTCAGGTCCATTGCCTTGTATTGAAGCATTAACGGGAACAGACGATCCTAACAATACAAAAGGCACAGAGATTATCCCAATGATTATTACTCTTAACCCTGTTTTAGTCTGTACAGTTTGTTTTTTAAAGTGGCATCCAAATTGTAGTTGTCATTTACGATCGTGTTCAAGGGCGGATCCAGGGTTTTTTGAAGGGGGGGTCTCAGGGGTAAATTTTGTGGGCAAAGGAATCCCAGTCGCATTTTTACCACAGGAAGCCCATTTGACCTCAGGAATGACAGGGGGGTCGCGACCCCCCCGACTCTCCCCCTGGATCCGCCCTTGGTGTTTCAGCATGTTCTGGGTTTTTATCTAAGATTTTGTAGAGGACGCGGCTAATTCTAATATACCACTACACGGAATATGGCAAGTTGATTGTAGCCAAATTAAATACAATTCAATGTTTATATACATGCAAATTCAATCTCTAACATACATTCAATTCAATCCAAAATACATTTCACTTTGTTCAAATCAATCTAAAAGTAAATTCAATTCAATGTTCACGTAATCCAATTTAATCCTAAAATACATTCTATCGCAGCGGAATAGAGTGAGGGGTATGGGACAGCCACCATTTGTGAGATTTAATTTGCAAGTACATAGATACTAAATTGAATAAATTAGGATTGATTTGAATAAATTTAATGGCATTGATTTTGGCTACAATTAGCTTGCCATAATATGTATGGAATCAAGGGTCTTTGGTTCGATTTCCCAACTTGGTATCAAATGTGAATAGAGTTTGTTTTAAGTCCCTTCCTCAATTTCTTCCTCAAAATCTAACAAGCTAAATTCCAATTCAATCTGTTAGTTAGTGAGATCAGCAGTGTGCTTACCTTTTCCTCTAGTAAGTTATCGCTGATGTATTTCAAGGTGAAATCCTTGTCCATCTCTGTTTCATTGTGTGATATTCCTATCTGAAGGATTAATGAATGAGATATTAAACATAAAAAGATTTATTCCATTCTTATGGCAATTAATGGCTTGTATGTTTTATATAACGCCCTCTATATATATGCTCAAAGGTGATGCTCACGTTAGTCTCCTTCACAGGTCGGCCCTGCACCATCTTGAAAGGTAGCTGTACCTTTGCATCAACATGAGAGGGACGGTGAGCATGCAATGATTGAGACATATTTTTAAAAACTTGGACTATTATTCACATCTCTATCACTGCGATCTCACTTTTCGTCTCACTTTGATGCAAAGGCATGGCTAACTTTCAAGATGGCATCAAGTCTGTGAAGGGGAC